CTACACGACTTTCAGGTCTGTCTTTTTGGGGGGAGTTTTAAGCAAAAGCCAAGCTTCATCCCCAGTTGCATTATTCTGGGAGCTGGGGCTGTAACTATCACCAGAATGGCACTCTCTCATTTTATAGCAACACAAATTATCAAACCAACCTATGCATATTGCAATTAAATCATAGACACAGTTCAAAGGAAAGAGGTGTTTCCTGTTACTTCTGCCTGTTTGACATGGCGGTTGTCCCTCTTTCAGCCCTCCAGCATATAGTTTGCATGTATATTTTATATAAAGTGATTTAAATAAAGCAGCAGCACAGATAGGTTATGGCTGGGTGATGGAAAGTCTGATTCTACTCTAGTAGAACCTGGATCATCATATATCCAAGCAGTTTGGATCTGCTTCATTCACAGCAAGCTGCCAAATTAAGGATGAGCCATTCAGCTGCTTCAAAGGGCACTACTTCTCTGCTCTGCTGAAGCACCACTGCTGTCCATGCAGTCAATTAGATAAACTGCCCTTTAAAATAAAAGCTGCAGTAACTCAACTAGAGCATCTCAGCAGGTCCATACAGCTGATTGTTGCAGCTATATATACCTCCCGGGCAAATTTGTAAATCCATTCGTTTTTATAAGGGGCTTTAGGACCTTAGTCTATGAAGAATCCAAGTTCTACTATTGTCAGATATACTTTCTACCTCCTGTTAGTTACAAAGATTGCTGGACTTGCTATACCTTTATTTTATTTGAGTTCATAAAGCAATTTTGGATAGCCCTCCTCATGACTTAGTCAACCACTTTCCACCACCACCCATAACCCCCCCCAATTACCAATACAAACATTACTTCTAAAATTTAGAAAATTAACATTTATCTGCCCCAGCTGCCTATCATGCGGCCCTCTATGGCTTGCCAAAACTCAGTAAGCGGCCCTCTGCCCAAAGTAATTGCCCGCCCTGGCTCTAATGCCACTGCCTGCTGCTGCAGTCAGGCACGTGCAGGTCTACCAGGTGTCAGGTAGGAAGGCTAGGCCAGATAGAGGATGGATATCAAACTGGAAGATAACAGACACAACCCTCCCATGTGCATCCCTTTCTGATCACTGGATACCACCACTACTAGCCTGCTTGTCACACAGTAGTCATCTTCAACTCATCCTTCTCCCAGTTCTGTGTTTTAAACCCACTTGGATCAGCCGAGACTTTTTGCACACTCTAAGGGTGCATGTTTCCTATCTGGTATCCTTCCCCACAGCCTAGCTCTCCAAAGTATGAAGACTAGTGCTCTAACTCTACTTGCATGGGCTCTCCAGTTTATAGTTCAATTGTTTGTGATCCGTGTTACAGTTAACATAAGAAACACAGGGCTTGGCAGGAAGGCTGTTGCCAGCCTTGATCATTTTCAAGGGGCCTGGGCCAAGTTGCAGAACTGTGGCTAAGTGACAACTTTGGTCAGCAAAGTAAAAGGAAGCCATCAACATCTCCAGCTACACCAGTAATGAGATCCAATTAAACAGAGCACAAAGCCTGAAAGGAGACATTATCAGGGAAGACCATACATTAAATCATTCAAATGTATACTATATCATAGCTTTATCTTAAAATGTTAGTAGTAGTGACTGATGTAAGCAAAAGATACTATTTTGCTAGAATTGGTATTTTTGTTAAGATGCTTAGATGCGTTGCAAAAACAAAACAGCCTTGTCAGAGCAGACTGTAAACTAAGATAAAGAAGAAACAAGACAATGTTGAACATCAGTCCAGAATGGCAAAGGAAAGGAGATAAGGAAAAAAACCTTCCTTTTACTTCCCCAAAGACATAAATCCCAACTAACTGACACCTTCCTAGTCCACAAGAAGTCTGATGCATTCCAATGTTTCAGAGAAACAGAGACATTTAAATAAAACCAACCAACTAACCAACATTTATTAGGATATTTAGAATAAGCCACCTATAAAATATAGGATATAAGCTGGAGGGAAATTTGGAGAACCTAGAAAATACAAAAAATGCTGCCAACCTGGATACCACCCTCCTCCCCCTTGAGTCTGCCTAGCCAGCATGTGTAGCCCATGCTGTGCTGTCACTGGTAGCCAGATGGACTTTGGGATAATCGTTTGTTTTCATGTTTGGGGGTAAAATAGTAAAAGGTCAGACTGTAGACCTGTTTCTTGCCTCATTTATCAATAGCCAACCTGCAAGTTTCCAGGTAACACTTCTCAAACACATACATGCATGTTTTATTCATAGGAAAATGCAGGCTACTTACAGATCCGTGGAAAAAATAACTAC